AAAAACCATTCCTGGAGAAGCGCAGAGATCCGTTGCTGAGTGCGATAATTTTATATACACACACACGCACACACACAATACTATAACAGTGGTCCAAAACATGCGCTTTGGCAACTCTTCCCAAGCTGCACTGGATCTGAACAGCAGAGCCTTTGAGGGCCGAAACGAGAAGAGAAAAAAGGGAAACAACCCAAAAGGATTCTGTCTCTGTGCTGCCTCTCTCCCTTTCAAGAAGAACCTTGTACTACCAGAATATTAATTAATTAATTACCCATCCCCRTTCCCCCCCCCCCTCCTCTTCATTTCTGGCCTTCCTGCACTGAAACAGTCCACATTCCACATCCTGCCTCCAATTTGACTGGGATAGGAGGCTTTGGAAAGGAAGGGGTTAGACCCACATCTCTCCCAATCTCTCRCCCCCCCCCCCCACCCTTATTTCAATTAGTGAAAGGCTAATGAGGTGGCGGAGCCTTTCCTCCTCCCTGCACTCTCCCCAAAGCGCCCTGTGTATGTGTATGTGTGTGTGTGTGTGTGTGTGTGTGTGTGTGCATGACTCAAAATAGCACAATGCAGAGATCTGGAGCAGAGCAGGGTTTTTTAAAAATACAGACACAATTAGAATCTGTATGGATGGGACTCACATGAAAGAAAGGGAGGAGGGCAAAATGGGGGGGGGGGTCTTTCATCTCCCCCTCTTTGCCTCATTCCCTCCCCTGCTGATGGGATTTTGCATCCCTGGGATTTCCTAAGAAGGATAAAGGAAGTTGGGAGCTGATTTCCCCCTCTGATAAATGGTTGGAAATAGCAACCTTCCAAGCCTTGACTATTTGTGGTGTTTCCACATTATTTTTGAAGCCACTCCGCTGAAAATAATCTCTGCGCTGCAACAACAACCTCGGCTGCTCAGAGAGGAAAACATTCCCTGCAAAAGGAAAGGAAGGGAAAGAAGAAGGAATGGGTGGAGGGGTGGCATGGATTGGGGGGTCTTGGTTGGAAACCCAACAAGAGGTGACAGCCTGGACTTAGCTAAACAGGAGGGGGGCTCTTTCTCCAAGGCATCACCCCACGCATCCTCTCCAAACGAGGAAAAATCCATCCAACGATCAGGGCAAGTCTCCCCCAAAAAAAGGGAAGAGAGGAAAGAGAGCCTTTGGCTTTGGACACTGTTGAGGCACACTAGGCGTCGTGGAGGCATCTGGAGATCTTTCCACACACACATACACACACAAACACACACACAAGGGATGCCAATTGCAAAGCCCATTGATTCCCGAGCTCTTCTTCGTCTTCTCGACTTGGCGAGGCATCCTCATCCAAACTGTTGCTTTTCCCCAGCAAGAGGAAGGCACATGAGAACGAACATGTTTGGGGGAGGTGGGAAGAGAAGAGAATCTGCATTCTGGGTTGCTGTGATTTTTCCAGGCTGTCCGGCCATGTTCCAGAAGCATTCTCTCCTGATGTTCTGCCCACATCTATGGCAAGCATACTCAGAGGTTGTTAGGTGGTTGCGAGGTGTTGGAAACTAGGCAACTGGCATTGATATATCTATGGAATAATGTTCAATGTGGGAGAAAGAACTAAAGCACTCTTGTCTGTTTGAGGCAAGTGTGAATGTTGCAATTGGCTACCTTGATTAGCATTGAATGGCCTTGCAGCTTCAAAGCCTGGCTGCTTCCTGCATGGAGGAGTCCTTTGTTGGGAGGTGTTAGCTGGCCCTGATTGTTTCCTGTCTGGATTTTCCCTGTTTTCTGAGTTTTGTTCTTTATTTACTGTCCTGGTTTTGGAGTTCTTTTAAATACTGGTCGTCAGATTTTGTTCATTTTCATGGTTTCCTCCTTTCAGGGTTGCTGTGGGTTTTACAAGCTGTGTGACCATGTTCCAGAAGCATTCTCTCCTGATGTTTCTCCCACATCTATGACACGCATCTTCAAAGGTTGTGAAGTCTGCTGGAAACTAGGCAACTGGGATTTATATATCTGTGGAATAATATCCAGGGTGGAAGGGGAAAAAATCTTGTCTGTTTGAGGCAGGTATGAATATTCAATTAGCCACCTTGATTAGCATTGAATGGCCTTGCAGCTTCAAAGCCTGGCTGGTTGCTGCCTGGGGGAATCTTTTGTTAGGTGGTGTTGAGGCAGGTGTGAATGTCCAATTGGCCACATTGATTAGCACTGAATGGCCTTGAAGCTTCAAAGCCTGGCTGGTTGCTGCCTGGGAGAATCTTTTGTTGGGAGGTGTTAGCTGGCCCTGATAGTTTCCTGTCTGGATTTCCATTATTTTTCAGTGTTGCGCTTTATTTACTCTCCTGATTTTGGAATTTTTTAAAATAGTGATCACCAGACATTTTTTTTCATTTTCATGGTTTCCTCCTTTCTGGGTTGCTGTGAGTTTTCCAAGCTGTATGGCCATGTTCCAGAAGCATTCTCTCCTGATGTTTCCCCCACATCTATGACAGGCATCCTCAGAGGTTGTGAGGTCTGTTGGAAACTAGGCAAGTGGGATTTATATATCTGTGGAATAATATCCAGGGTGGGAGAAAAAGAATCTTGTCTGTTTGAGGCAAGTGTGAAGTTTGCAGTTGGCCACCTTGATTAGTATTGAATGGCCTTGCAGCTTCAAAGCCTGGCTGGTTGCTGCCTTGGTGGGTCCTTTGTTGGGAGGTGTTAGCTGGCCCTGATTGTTTCCTGTCTCGATTTCCATTTTTTTTTAGTGGCAGGTGTGAATATTCAATTAGCCACCTTGATTAGCACTGAATGGCCTTGCAGCTTCAAAGCCTGGCTGGTTGCTGCCTGGAGGGGGGAATCCTTTGTTGGGAGGTGTTAGCTGGCCCTGATTATTTCTTGTCTGGATTTCCAATTTTTTTAAGTTTTGCTTTTTATTTACTGTCCTGATTTTGGAGTTTTTAAAATATTGGTAGCCTGATTGTGTACATTTTGATGATTTCTTCCTTTCTGTCGAAATAGTCCACATGCTTGTGGATTTCAATGGCTTCTCTGTGTAGCCTGACAAGGTGAATATTCATTTAGCCACCTTGATTAGCATTAAATGGCCTTGCAGCTTCAGAGCCTGGCTGGTTGCTGCCTGGGGGAAAATCCTTTGTTGGGAGGTGTTAGCTGGCCCTGATTATTTCTTCTCTGGATTTCCAATATATATTTTTTTAGTTTTGCTTTTTATTTACTGTCCTGATTTTGGAGTTTTTTTAATACTGGTTGCTGCCTGGGGGGGGGGGGGTCCTTGTTGGGAGGTGTTAGCTGGCCCTGATTTTTCCTGTCTAGATTCCCTATATACATACATATACATACATACATACATACATACACATATATATATTAGTGTTGCTCTTGATTTACTGTCCTGACTTTGGAGTCTTTTTTAATATTGATTGCTGCCTGGAAAGGGAAGGGGGATCCTTTGTTGGGAGGTGTTAGCTGGCCCTAATTATTTCTTGTCCGGATTTCCAATATTTTTGTTTAGTTTTGCTTTTTATTTACTGTCCTGATCTTGGAGTTTTTAAAAAAATACTGGTTGTTGCCTGGAAAGGGGGGTGGATCCTTTGTTGGGAGGTGCTAGCTGGCCCTAATGATTTCTTGTCTGCATTTCCGATATTTTTTTTAGTTTTCCTTTTTATTTACTGTCCTGATTTTGGAATTTTTTTTAAATACTGGTTGCTACCTGGAAAGGGGTGGGGGATCCTTTGTTGGGAGGTGTTAGCTGGCCCTGATTATTTCTTGTCTGGATTTCCACTATTTTTTTTTAGTTCGGGGGGGGGGGGGGGAATCCTTTGTTGGGAGGGGTTAGCTGGCCCTGATTGTTTCTGTCTGGATTCCCTCTATATATATATATATATATATATATATATATATATATATATATAGTGTTGCTCTTTATTTACTGTCCTGATTTTGGAGGGGTTTTTTTTTAATACTGGTTGCTGCCTGGAGGGGGGAATTTTTTGTTGGGAGGTGTTAGCTGGCCCTAATTACTTCTTGTCTGGATTTCCCAAATTTTTTTTAAGTTTTGCTTTTTATTTACTGTCCTAATTTTGGAGTAGTCTGATTGTGTTCATGTTCATGGTTTCTTCCTTTCTGTCCGAATGGTCCACATGCTCCTTGTGGGTGTCAATGGCTTCTCTGTGTAGCCTGGCATGGTGGTTGTGAGAGTGGTCCATCCTTTCTGTGTCCCTCAAACACTATGTGGTGCCCAGGTGGGTTCCTCAAGTGCTCTGCTATGGCTGACTTCCCTGGTTGAGTGAAGCCTGCAGTGCCTTGATTCCTGTGCCTTGGGCAAAGCCCCAATCCCTCTCCTTTCGCACAGACCCAAAGACACGCGTCTCCCTCCCTCTGAATGGGGAAAGAGACCCGAAAGAAAGCGAGCTTCCTGCTTGGGCAAAGCCCCAATCCCTCTCCTTTCCCACAGAGCCAAAGACACGCGTCTCCCTCCCTCTGAATGGGGAGAGAGACCCGAAAGAAAGCGAGCTTCCTGCTCGGGCAAAGCCCCAATCTTTCTCCTTTCCCACAGACCCAAAGACACGCGTCTCCCTCCCTCTGAATGGGGAAAGAGACCCGAAAGAAAGCGAGCTTCCTGCTTGGGCAAAGCCCCAATCCCTCTCCTTTCCCACAGAGCCAAAGACACGCATCTTCCTCCCTCTGAATGGGGAGAGAGAGCCGAGAGAAAGCGAGCTCCCAGCTCGGGCAAAGCCCCAGTCCTTCTCCTTTCGCACAGACCCCAAGACACGCATCTTCCTCCCTCTGAATGGGGAGAGAGAGCCGAGAGAAAGCGAGCTCCCAGCTCGGGCAAAGCCCCAGTCCTTCTCCTTTCGCACAGACCCCAAGACACGCATCTTCCTCCCTCTGAATGGGGAGAGAGACCCGAGAGAAAGCGAGCTTCCTGCTCGGGCAAAGCCCCAGTCCTTCTCCTTTCGCACAGACCCAGAGACACGCGTCTCCCTCCCTCTGGCATGTGTGAACGAGGCAGGGAAGGAGCCGAAAGAGGAGACTTACATGGCGGTGATGTTCCTGGAGATGTCGGTGATGTTGATGCTGGCGTTGGCGCTGGGGGTGGCGGCGTCGTGCCCTTCCAGGAGCGGGAAGAGGTTGCCATCGTCGGGCTTCTTGCAGTGGATCTCCGTCTTGTTGCAAAGGCAGTTGGCCGGGCAACCCCAGACGGACGCCAAGTAGTCCCCCCAAAGGCTCCAGAGCCAGAAGAGACGCCAAAACCCCCCCCGGGTCGGGCAAAACCAGGCATCCATCTTCAAGGGGGGGGGTATTCAAAAAAAGAAAGAGATGGGGAAAAAGGGGAAGGAAGAAAGGGAGGAAAAGGGAGGGAGGGGGAGCGAAGGAAAAAGGGGGCTGGCGGAGAAGGAAAACCAAGAGCCCCCTCCCCAAAAATAATGCCTTCTCCCCTTCCTTCAAGCCTTCCAATGGGCCCCAAATCCTTCCGACGGGGGAGTCATCCTGAGAAGCCGGAGAAGGCGGCGGGTTTTCCCTCTATCGACATCGCCGAGAGAGAGAGAGAGAGAGTGAATGAGAAAGAGAGATGGGAAGAGAGGGAGAAGGAGGGAGGGAGGGAGGCGGGAGCGCGCGCGCGCGGGGAGGAGGGAAGGAGGGGGCCCCCACGCGGGAGCGCGCCTCCTCCCACTCCCGAATCTCCCCCGCTCTCTCTCTTTGCAAGAGCGCCGAAGGGATGGGGAGGGGGCTTGGCCAGTGGAAACACCTGCAAGGAGAGCCCACTCTTCTCCTTCTTCTCCTCCTCACCCCCCACGCGCGACGCCAAAAGGGTGCTCTCCCCTTCCTCTTCTCCTTCTTCTCCTTCTTCTTCTCCTTCCCACGCCCAGCGCTACCGCAAAGCGAGGATGCCGGAGCCAAAAGAGGGGTGGTCTGTCTTTCAGATTGAGTCGGGGGGGGGGAGAAGAGGAAGGACAGCTCTCGCGTGGGACAGGAGCTTCCAACGTGGGTCCCTTTGCATTCAAGTCCTGGGAAAACCACACAAAAAGAGTCGGGTTGGACACTTTGTGGGGGGTGGGGGAAGTGGGGAGAAGAGCCCACCCCCAGGAAAAGGAGAGAGAAGAGCAAGGACAGCTCTCGCGTGGGACAGGCGTTTCCAACGTGGGTCCCTTTGCATTCAAGTCCTGGGAAAACCACACAAAAAGAGTCGGGTTGGACACTTTGGGGGGGGGGAGTGGGGAGAAGAGCCCCCCACCCCCAGGAAAGAGAGACAGAAGAGGAAGGACAGCTCTCGCGTGGGACAGGTGCTTCCAACGTGGGTCCCTTTCCAGCCAAGGCCAAAATGAAAGGACCCTGGGAAACCACGCAAAAAGAGTCGGGTTGGACACTTTTTTGGGGGGTGGGGGAATGGGGAGAGGAGCCCACCCCAGGAAAGGGAGAGAGAAGAGGAAGGACACCTCTCGCGTGAGACAGGCGTTTCCAACGTGGGTCCCTTTCAGCCAAGGCCAAAAGAAAGGACCCTGGGAAAACCACACAAAAAATAGTCGGTTGGACACTTTTTTGGGGGGTGGGGGGAGTGGGGAGAAGAGCCCACTGCCAGGAAAGGGAGAGAGGAGAGGATGGACAGCTCTCGCGTGGGACAGGCGCTTCCAACGTGGGTCCCTTTGCATTCAAGGCCTGGGAAAACCACACAAAAAGAGCCGGGTTGGACACTTTTTTGGGGGGTGGGGGGAGTGGGGGGAAGAGCCCACCACCAGGAAAGAAAATAAAGCAAATAAGGACCGCTGAGCCAGCTGGGAAGAGATGCTGCACTCCATCCATCTATCCCAGGAGGGGGACTCAAATGATCAAGGGTCTGGAGAACAAGCCCTATGAGGAGCGGCTTAAAGAGCTGGGCAAGTTTTTTTTTGTCATGTCAGGAGCAACATGAGAAACTGCAAGTCGCTTCGGGTGTGAGAGAATTGGCCATCTGCAAGGACGTTGCCCGGAGCAGAGGACAAGGGATGCCCGGATGATTTGATACTTCTCTCATGTCCCCTCATGAGGAGCTGGAGCTGATAGAGGGAGCTCATCCGCCTCTCATAGAATCATAGAATCCAAGAGTTGGAAGAGACCTCATGGGCCATCCAGTCCAACCCCCTGCCAAGAAGCAGGAATATTGCATTCAAATCACCCCTCTCCCCGGATTCGAACCTGCAACCTGTTGGTCTTCAGTCCTGCTGGCTCAGGGGTTTATCCCACTGTGCCACCAGGTAATGCTCCCCAAGCTCTATTCCGCTTTGGTTAGACCACACCTGGAATATTGTGTCCAATTCTGGGCACCACAATTCAAGAGAGATATTGACAAGCTGGAATGTGTCCAGAGGAGGGCGACTCAAGGGTCTGGAGAACAAGCCCTATGAGGAGCGGCTTAAGGAGCTGGGCAAGTCACGGTATCCCTCTATTCCACCTTAGTTAGACCCCACCTGGAATACTGTGTCTAATTCTGGGCACCACAATTGAAGAAAGATGCTGACAAGCCGGAAAGTGTCCAGAGGATGGTGACTCAGATGATCAATGGTCTGGAGAACAAGCCCTATGAGGCGTGGCTTAAAGAGCTGGGCAAGTTATGCTCCCCATGCTCTATTCTGCTTTGGCTAGACCACACCTGGAATATTGTGTCCAATTCTGGGCAGCACTATTGAAGAGAGAAATTGACAAGTTGGAATGTGTCCAGAGGAGGGCGACTCAAATGATCAAGGGTCTGGAGAACAAGCCCTATGAGGAGCGGCTTAAGGAGCTGGGCATGTTTAGCTTGAAGAAGAGAAGGCTGGGAGGAGACATGATAGCCATGTATAAATATGTGAGAGGAAGCCACAGGGAGGAGGAGGGAGCAAGCTTGTTTTCTGCTTCCTTGGAGACTAGGACGCAATGGAACAATGGCTTCAAACTACAAGAGAGGAGATTCCATCTGAACATTAGGAAGACCTTCCTGATTGTGAGTGCCATTCAGCAGTGGAACTCTCTGCCCCGGAGTGTGGTGGAGGCTCCTTCTTTGGAAGCTTTTAAACAGAGGCTGGATGGCCATCTGTCGGGGGTGCTTTGAATGCAATTTTCCAGCTTCTTCGCAGGGGTTGGACTGGATGGCCCATGAGGTCTCCTCCAACTATGATTCTATGATTCTATGAAAATGATCTTAGTGTGCTGCTTGGCCAAAACTAACCAAACGAATGTCAACAAGGACAAATGGAACGTGATACTACACTTTGGCAGAAAGAAATGAAATGCAAAGATACCAAATGGATGAGGCCCAGCTGCACAACAGTCCATGTGGGAAAGATCTTGGAGTCTTCATGGGGAACAAGTTGAACGTGAGCCAAGAGTGTGATGCAGCAGCTAATAAAGCCAATGGGAATGTGGGCTGCATCAAAAGGATGATAGTGTTTAGATCACTGGTTCCCAACCTTTTTTTTTTATCAGGGACTACTTTGACCAGGGACCACTTTGACCAGGTACTACTTTGACCAGGGACTACTTTGACCAGGGACCACTTGACCAGGGATCACTTGACCAGAGACGACTTTGACCAGGGACCACTTGACCAAGGACCACTTGACCAGGGACTACTTGACTAAGGACCACTTGACCAGGGACCACTTTGACCAGGGACCACTTTATTAGGGACCACTTTGACCAGGTACCACTTGACCAGGGCCCAATTTGACCAGGGATCCCTTCAGTAGGGACCACTTGAACATGGACCACTTTGACCAGGGACAGTCTGAACAGAGACCACTGTGCACATCTCCCTGGCATTTGTAAGAGACTGTTGGCATGTTGCAGACTTCAAAAAAGTATCCATATCTACTCTTCGTAATATTTTACAAAGGGATGATGGCAGAAGCTTTCATAGAACATGTATGGTTACTGTAAATTCAGCATTCATAACAGCTAAAGGTATTCAATTTGGGGAAAAGTCTCTATGTTTCATAGAAGACTCTCTTTTAGTTCTTCAAGTGTTTTCGCTACTACACTGTACAGTTCAACAAAATGTAAAACTGCATCATGTCACCCAACCTAACAGGTTATTTACTCGATTCAGAGAAACTATCATTTATATTTTTCTTCAACAGTTCCCATCTGGTGGATGATGTTCTGAAGAAATTGCACACAGATAGTATTGTTCCTTGGCAATTTCTGACAGGTGGAATGCTGCAAGTTTTTACTAAGGCTAGATTTAGTGAGTGAGCACTGCAGTGGATGTGGACCACCACTGGATACTTCTGCAACATAATTGCCTGTGCATCGCTAATATGACCACTCATAACCTTGTCCACACAAGCATTGGAAGCTCAGCCCAATTTTTTTCCAGGGTTTTCAAAATAATGCCTGCAAGTTCTTCACCTATCATATAACTTATCTTCACAAAGCCCCTAAAGTCCTCTCTTATTTCTGCAGCTTCAACATCAACGTACCTTAATTAGGCATGGGCAATCCATGGTTCTAAATTATTCCAAAGTACTTACAAAACTAGAGGGTGCTGGTGCTTTGCTTCTATAGTGTTGCTAAAGTTCTGGTGGTGAAAATTTCAGAACTCTAACGAAACTTTCAAAATTTCATTATTGTTTTGTTATTGGCAAATTTTATGACAGAACAAATTAGGAACTGCCACTCATTACGAAATTTTGTTAGAGTTCTGAAATTTTCACCATCATAACTTTAACAACACTATAGAAGCAAAGCACCAGCGCCCTCTAGTTTTGTAAGTACATTAGAACCATTTAGAATCATGGATTTCCCATGCCTACTAAATATTCTGATGTACTCACATTTAAAGTGTCATGGACCAAAATAGAAAAAACACTGTGATGCATTGCATCTTTCAACAATTGTTTTGACTATCTTGTCAACACAAATGTCTATTAGTTCATTCTGTATTTGAGGACTAGTATACTGGGCATTCATAGCTGCAGTTTCAATGTGGGTTGTTGTAGGTTTTTTCGGGCTATATGTCCATGGTCTAGAGGCATTTTCTCCTGACGTTTTGCCTGCATCTATGGCAAGCATCCTCAGAGGTAGTGAGGTCTGTTGGAAGTAGGAAAATGGGTTTATATATCTGTCAAGTAGCATGTCAAGCTTCTGCCATCATCCCTTCGTAAAATATTATGAAGAGTAGAGATGGATACTTTTTTGAAGTCTCCAACACACACACACACACACACACACACACACACACACACACACACACACATATATATATATATATATATATATATATTTGTACCCCGCTAGCATCTCTCAAAGGACTCAATGCGGCTTACAAAGGCCAAGGCCT